CTTTTCTTAGGATCCATTAAAGATCAAATGCAATTGGAAATTCTTCTCAATTCCAGTATGAATTTAAACAAACACTATATGAACTTAACATTGTAAAATTTGTTTAGGAAATTTAATGTTCAAGGACACCACTTAAGAAAAAAATTGTTTAATAGGAAAAGTAAGAAGTGAAAAATGTACAAAAATAAAAACTACTGCGTCCAACTAATGATTGTGTCTGTCCCTTGTCTCACGGGCTTCATCCAGAAGAAGACACAAGTGTTGTTCCTGCTGTGTCCAGTTCAGTTCTTCATGTTCATTCAGTGATGGAATAAGACTTTTCTTTACTGGACTCTTTTCTCTTTCTCTTCACTAGAAAGAAGAAAAAGTGGTTAATTCAAGCTACATACTGTTTTTGAATAAATGCATGAAACAAAGAAAGGTGCTGCTAACAGCTATAATAGATATATTAATAATAATAAACTGATCAGATAAGAAAATGAAAAATAAATTGATTTAAAAATAATGAAAATGATAATAATGGATATATGAATCAGAAAGTATTATACTGATGCAGATATTCTTTGTCATTCGCATCACATGTGGTCCATGTGGTGGATCAAAATTATGTTCACAGGGTCCCAGTTACATCCAACAATAAAATATAAAAGAAAAACAGTAATAAGATCTAAGATATGAACTAATAAAAACATCAACTAAAAATATAAGCTCTAATAGCATAAAAACATTAAACACAATACGCAGAACAGCAGCACGGACATGAGTCTGTGTGAACAGACGAGCATGCATGAACACAGCAACATGAAACAGATCAGCAGCAACATGAAACTGATCAGCAGCAACATGAAACTGATCAGCAGCTACATGATGTGATTCTTCACAGTGTTATGTATTCATGAGGCTGCACAAACTAGTTCATGTTGCTGTTTGACGTATTGTTTTGTTTGTTTACTGCTATTAGTGCTTAGTGTTTTATTAGTAGATGTTTTTTAGTTGATATTTTTCTTAGTTCATATCTTAGATCTTATTACTGTTTTTATTTTACGTTTTGTTGTCTGTAACTGGGACCCTGTGTACATAATTTCATCCCAATTCAGTATTTATTCAACATTTTAGTTTTTTACTTTAAAAATAAAATAAATCAAGTCCTTATCGGCACAAATAAAGTGATGTGGAACATGTTGCATCTGTTCTTACCGAGCACAGAAGCTGCAGCGTTGTGCTGCTCTGTGAGGTGCAGCTGGGCTGTGATGGAGACCTGTCAGGTGCAGACTCCTCTGATGGAGCTCTGTCAGGTGTAGACTCCTCTGATGGAGCAGGAGCTGGGAGGCTTGGAGGGTTTAATGTGGAGTTTAGAGATGAACCTTCACGCGCTGAAATACGTTCTGTATAAAATACAGTGAGAAACGGGACCGGAGGACAGTTAGCATTTATGCAAATTAGCTTAGCATCGTAGCACCGACGTTGTCCTATTATGGCGTCAGCCTCTTTTGTTAGTTAAAAATATGTTCAGAACCGATGGCATGAGTAATTTAAAATGTGTTTAAAGTTAGAAAACACTCACCATCTTCTATAAATGGTTCAAGTAGAGCAGTAGTCGTGTCCAAACCACCCTCCAATCGCTCCATCTAGCTTGCTTTGACTTTTTTCGTCGGCCACCAAGCAGAACAACACCTGCACTTCTGCATTTGACCACGGCTTTGATATTATTGTTGTTGTATAGCTTCAAAATACTAAAAGATACGCTCCTCGTGTTATCGCTAATGGCAAGCGGTAGAGAAAAAATGGTGGATCGGGTTGTTTGGAAAGACTCCACAGACTCCTCCCCCCGACCAATCAGTGACCGACAGTGTTTCTGACGTCACGGCGCGGCTCGCTCGGAACCCTTGAGAAGCCGGGCCAGAATTTAGCGAGGCGAGCCGGTTTCTGGAACAGTGGAATGACCTCAAACGCGCTTCAACCCGGAAATATCCGACCCGCGCCGTGACGGTGGAAAAGGGGCATAAGATAGAAAGGTGCTATATATGTACAGTCCATTTACCTGTATGATTGAACTTACAAACCTTTTTTCCTTAACCTTGTCACAATCTGCAGAAACCTCCAGTATAAGTGACAGGTTTCTGGGCCTCCAACAGCAGTTTTAGCTTTGATGTGAACGAGGAGACATATTTCAGAGTCAGAGTTTCTTAATTGTCATTCGCACCTCATGTGGTACATGTGGTGGAACGACATTGTGTAAACAGGGTCCCAGTTACATCCAACAATAAAATATAAAAGAAAAACATTAATAAGATCTAAGATATGAATTAAGAAAAACATCAACTACATATAAACTAAGCACTAATAGCATACAAACGTTACGTGGAACATTCAAAAAAGTTCAAGACAAAAACAACTGGACTTTATTTGTAACAGGAGATGTTTCGCTTCTCCTCCGAGAAGCTTTCAGCAGCACGAATATGAGTCTGTGTGAGCAGATGAGTATGAAATAACACATCAACATGAAACAGATCAGCAGCAGCAACATAATGTGATTTTTCACAGCGATTATTCTAGTTAGAGATTCATGACAGCCTCAGGGTAGAAGCTGTTCCTCAGTCTAGTGGTTCTACACTTAATGCTCCTCAACCTCCTTCCTGAGGGGAGTGGGGCAAAAAGTGTGTGTGCTGGGTGAGTGGGATCCTTCATGATGCAGGTGGCCCTCTTCCTGCATCTGGAGGTGTAGATGTCTGTGATGGTGGGGAGACTGACTCCAACAGTCTTCTGTGCAGCCTTCACTACTTTCTGCAAAGTTTTTCTTTCTGCAGCTGTGCAGCCTCCATGCCATACGTTGATGCTGGAGCACAGGGTGCTCTCCACTGCACACCTGTAGAAGGAGGTGAGGACTGAGCTTCCCAGACCAGCTCGTCTCAGCTGCCTGAGAAAGTAGAGTCTCTGATGAGCTTTCTTGATCAGGCTGGTGGTGTTGTTGCTCCAGCTGAGGTTGTCATTCAGGTGCACACCCAAGTTCTTGGAACTGGAGGCCACTTCCACTGCAGATCGGTAGGTGTGTTTGTTCCTTCTAAAGTCCACGACCATCTCCTTCGTCTTCTTCACATTGATGTGAAGGTTGTTCTTCCTGCACCAGCTCTCCAGGTGTTCCACCTCTTGCCTGTAGCTGGACTCATCATTGTTTGTGATGCATCCCACCACCTCTGTATCATCTGCAAACTTTACAATATGACAGCCTGGACGGATAGCTGCATGATCATACGTGAGCAGATTGAACAGGAGAGGGCTCAGCACACATCCTTGAGGGGAGCCAGGGCTGAGGGTTATGGTGGAGGAGGAAAAGTTGTGAATCCTCACTAACTGATGTCTCTTTGTTAAGAAGTCTAGTACCCAGTTGCAAATGGAGGGGCTTAGTCCTAGTGTGAATAGTTTGTCCATCAGTGTTTGGGGGATCATGGTGTTGAAGGCAGATGTGAAGTCCACAAAGAGCATACGGACATAGGAGTTCTTCTGCTCCAGGTGGGTGAGAGCAGTGTGGACCACAGAGGAGATGGCATTCTCTGTTGATCGGTTCTCACAGTTTGCCTACTGGTGAGGGTCGATGTTGATGGTTGTTTTGATGTGGGTTATGACCAGTTTTTCAAAGCATTTAGTGACTATCGGGGTGAGGGCCACTGGCCGATAGTCATTCAGACCAGTTATTGTAGAGCACTTTGGGACTGGTATGATGGCAGCAGTCTTCAGGCAGGTGGGAGCTGTTGCCAGTGTAAGTGAGGAATTAAAGATGTTAGCCAGCACCTTGCAAATCTGATCGGCACAGTCTTTCAGCATCTTCCCGGGGATGTTGTGTGGGCCAGTTGCTTTGTGAGGATTAATCCTCTTGAAAGTACTCCTCACTTCAGCTGACGTCAAACTGAGAAACTCTTCATCCGGTGGTGATGTGAGTCTGGTGCTAGGTGGTCTGTTCGGGTCTTCAAAGTGTGCGTAGAATTTGTTGAGGGCATCAGGCAGTGATGGGGCGGCTGTGGCTGAGTGGTTAGAGCAGTTGTCCTCCAATGCAAGAGTTGGGGCTTCGATTCCAGCAGCAGTCACATGTTGAAGTGTCCCTGGGCAAGACACTGAACCCCTCATTGTGATGTGTGTCCCATCAGTGTATGAATGTGATAAAGCTCTGATTAATATTTGTATAAATGTAGTAGAGTGCTGTATGAATGGGTAAATGAGGCACAGGTGGTAGTGTAAAGCGCTTTGAGTATCTTGCCTAGATAGAAAAGTGCTATACAAGTTCAGTTCATTTACCATCATGGTGTGAACAAGTATCTAAAAGATGAGTGAAGGACAGCTGAGCATGCCATACTATTAGATATGAGGCCACTGTGGCCAGTCATGCTTCAAACTATCAACAGCAAAATCATTCCAATATATGCAGACCCCACGAGACACTGCCACAGTGATGATAAATCACAACCTCACACCAGCGTTTAGGTCATGCTCAAACACACTGTGGTCAGGGTCATGCGTTATGTGAACTGTGTTCCTAAGATGCCACTGAGACTTTGCCAAGCACCTGCAAATACCTTCTTTTGTAACATTGTAAAAGGATCATCATCCATTAGTAAGGGAGCCTAATGGTGTTTGTTTTTAAAAGGAGACTTCTACATTTGCACTTAATTGTATGGGACTTGGTAACAATGCAAAGCAGAGGAGCCATGCTACTTGAAATCATAAGATGCTGTTTGAAAACCTTTTTTCAGACAGTTCCTGTTGGCTTGAACAGATTTTTTAGCTCAACAGTTTTACTGTCAAATGTAAAGAAAGAATTAGACTTTGTGTGCGTTTACTCCCATCTTTGACCCAGTTCAAAGGAAACTAGAGCTTGGACACTGATTACACATTTCACCACAGCAAAGTCTCATCAGTTTAGCTCCAAACTTCCTTTTCTGTTTTGTTTTTCATGTCTGTCTTTCCTCTGCTCATGTTTTTACTCTGACACTCTCATTTCCTCTCAGGCCGTCTCTCAACAGGACCTCGTTTACATGGCCATCCAAATTGCTTGTGGAATGAGCTACCTGGCTCGCAGGGAGGTCATCCACAAAGATCTCGCCACTCGGAACTGTGTGTAAGTGTCTGACCCGACACAGCATTTCTTCTTGTGGAATTCAGTTGCTGACATAATTAGCCCACCTTGTCTCTCTCTCGTCCCCTTTCTGGCAGCATTGACGACAACATGCAGGTGAAGATTACAGACAATGCCCTCGCTCGAGATCTGTTTCCTATGGACTACCACTGTCTGGGGGATAACGAGAACCGTTCCGTCCGCTGGATGGCCCTGGAAAGCTTGCTCAACAACGACTTCTCCAGTGCAAGTGATGTGGTGAGAAATACAGCAACAGATGTAGCATTTCCTGTCACTCGAGATCATTTATTTTTAAGAGGGCGATCCAGGAAATTATACTAATGGCCTTCAAGCCATTTTTAGATTCTTGGTCGTGATTTCAAAGGAATGGGAGGTGTAATAAAAGGTATCATGTGTTGCTGGTTCTTTCCTGTGCAAAGATACCAGAGTGGGCGCGACAGACTTTCATTAAGCCTAATACATCCTCAGAGACTCTTGCCCGACATCAGCCAAACATGACACCCCCCTCCTCAGTCCTCAACATTCCTCTTATGGTCATGCTGCTCCCTGGTACTAACAGCTAACAGGCCCACCATAAACAGACAATTAGGCTTGAGGGAAATTGTGCATCAGCATTGCACACATAAACACGCCGGACCCTGATGGCTACAGTTTACGTGCATCAGATTTCAAACTGGATGTGATGAGAGAGGCACTGCTGGCATGTTTAGAACTTGTTGGAAATGATTGCGGTGTCCTCGGCACTGATGTGGGAGCAGCAGCTGCTTACCCTGAAAGCCCCTCTGGTGATTTTAGTCTCTGCTCCCAGTCCCTCTTGGACATTATTTCTCCTTCTTTTTGTCTTATAACAACAAAACTGTTGTGGAGCGTTCTGTGTTGTTTGTAAAACAATGTTATGCCATCAAAAGCTGACTTTTTTTGTTTGATAACAAAAAAACACATTTGAATTTAAAATTGAGTTTTCACTTTAACATTTAAGATCAAGCGTAGTTATTGTAAACGATAACTTTTGCAGCCATTTTGAACTGGGTTGGCTCTATAAGGTGACAAGTTGTAGATGTGCATCCAGTGATTGCTCTGAGAGTTTCAATGAAAACGCATCCAGTTGTTCATGAAATATTTTTCTAACAGGCAGCATCGAGATTAAACAAAGATCTTGTGTAAACATTTCTCACTTGAGTATGTTAGGATTGTACCACACTAAATTTTATCTCAATGTCTGTAAAATTGGCTGAGTTACAGCAGCTTTTGTGTTTGCTAAGGAAACTTCCTAACACATGAGCAAAAACTTTATTTCCTGTCTGTTGTCATTTGGTCAACAAGCCATAAATAAAGCTGTTTATTCTGATCAATGAAAACTGATAAAAGCTGATGACTTCTTGTGAGCACCACTTTAAGTAAATGTTACTAGTAAACAATGATGTCATCGTTCTATGTGGTGTGTTCACAGTGGGCCTTTGGAGTGACATTGTGGGAACTCATGACTTTGGGGCAGACCCCCTACGTCGACGTCGACCCTTTTGAGATGTCTGCTTACCTGAAGGACGGTTACAGAATAGCACAGCCCATCAACTGCCCAGATGAGCTGTAAGTTGATTCACTCACACGTGTTTTGTTTTCACATGCAAAAACCTGGTGCTGCAGAGGGATGATGGGAAAACTTAAGGTCTTTAAAGCTCATTGCCAAAATGTTTTGCACAAAATAACACAAAAAAATGACTTTAAAGGGTTTGGGTGATTTCATCAGAGCTAACTTTACAGCAGAGCCGTCACGAAGCAAAATAATCTCCTTAGAGATCTTGGCCCCTCCAGGACCTTCACAGAGTGGTCTTGAAGCACCTCCTTTCAGATCTTGTCCATGTGCTTTGGGTCGATGTCCTGCTGATAAATGAACCGTAGCCTCAGTCTGAGGTCCAGAGCTCTCTGGAGCAGGTTTTCAACCAGGATGTCTCTGCACATCGCCACCACCATGCTTCACTGTAGAGATGCTGTTGTTCTGGTGATGAGCGGTGCCTGGTTTCCTCCAAACATGACGCCTGTCATTCACACCAAAGAGTTCAATCTTTGTCTCATCAGACCAGAGTCTTTGGTCAACTCCAGACAGGCTGCCATGTTTCTTTTATTAATGAGTGGCTTTCATCTGGCCACTCTGCCTGATTGGTGGATTGCTGCAGAGATGGTTGTCCTTCTGGAAAGTTCTCCTCTCTCCACAGAGGAACGTTGTAGCTCTGACAGTTCCATCAGGTTCTTGGTCACCTCCCTGACTTAAGCTCCTCCTCCTCCCCTGCTCGCTCAGTTTAGACGGTCGGCTGTAGGAAGAGTCCTGATGGTTCCAAACTTCTTCCATTTATGAACGATGGAGACCACTGAGCTCAACGGGACCTTCAAAGAAGCAGAAATGTTTCTGTGTCCTTCCCCAGATTTGTGCCTCACTTCAAGTCAGTTTATTTATATAGCACCAAATCACAACAAAGTTGTCTCAGGGCACTTTACAGGAACATTCACATACATGTAAAAGCCAATTAGTAAAGTTATCTGTCTAAGGAAGCACCAGACTTGTTTAATCTTCACTTCATCACAGTCTCCCATCTTGAGCAAGCACCAAGGAGACAGTGGAAAGAAAAAAACTCTTTTAAAAGGAAGAAACCTCCAGCAGAACCAGGCTCAGGACAAGCACCATCTGCTTTGACCGGCTGGTTTGAGAAGACAGGAAGGAGACACAAACACAGAATGGCAGGTCCAGGTGTACCTCCTATTGGAAGAAAGATTAAAAAACACATGTCAAGTATGAGCATGATGAGCAAGGATTGAGCCTGAACTTTGATGTCAAGAATAGAAAAAAAATACAAATACAAAATGGGTTGAGCAAAGTAAGTAAAGACAGAAGCAGCGTGAATAATTGTGATGAGTTTGTCCTCCAGCAGTCTAAGCCTATAGCAGCATAACTAATGAATAGCTCAGGAAATCCAAGCTGACTGCAACTATAGGATTTATCAAAAGGAGAGACTTAAGTCCAGTTTTAAAACTGGACAATGTGTCAGCCTCATGGACAGAAACTGGAAGTTGGTTCCACAAGAGAGGAGCCTGATAACTGAAAGATCTTCCTCCATTCTGCTTTTGGAAACTCTAGGAACCGCGAGTAAACCTGCAGTTTGAGAGCGAAGTACGCTGGTAGGAAAATATGGAACAATAAGATCTCGAATATAAGATGGAGCTAGGTTGTTGAGAGCTTTGTAGGTTAGAAGTAAGAAGAAGGGTTGTTGACTTAAGATGGAACAAACACACCTGCCCCCCCCCCCCCCCCGAGCATAGGAGGATCTGTGGTGGAAGTGGTCTCCAGCTACAAGTACCTGGGTGTGCACCTGAACAACAACCTCAGCTGGAGCAACAACACCACCAGCCTGATCAAGAAAGCTCATCAGAGACTCTACTTCCTCAGACGGCTGAGACGAGCTGGTCTGGGAAGCTCAGTCCTCACCTCCTTCTACAGGTGTGCAGTGGAGAGCATCCTGTGCTCCAGCATCAACGTGTGGCATGGAGGCTGCACAGCTGCAGAAAGAAAAGCTTTGCAGAGAGTGGTGAAGGCTGCACAGAAGTCTGTTGGAGTCAGTCTCCCCACCATCACAGACATTACACCTCCAGATGCAGGAAGAGGGCCACCTGCATCATGAAGGACCCCACTCACCCAGCACACACTTTTTCCCCCACTCCCCTCAGGAAGGAGGTTGAGGAGCATTAAGTGTAGAACCACTAGACTGAGGAACAGCTTCTACCCTGAGGCTGTTAGACTCATGAATCTCTAACTAGAATAATCACTGTGAAAAATCACATCATGTTGCTGCTGATCTGTTTCATGTTGCTGCTGATGTGTTTCATGTTGCTGCTGATGTGTTTCATGTTGCTGCTGATCTGTTTCATATTGCTACTGATCTGTTTCATATTGCTACTGATCTGTTTCATGTTGCTGCTGATCTGTTTCATGTTGCTGTGTTCGTACTCATCTGCTCACACAGACTCATGTCCGTTCTGCTGTTCGACGTAATGTTTTTATGCTACTAGTGCTTAGTGTATTTTTAGTTAACATTTTTCTTAGTTCATATCTTAGATATTATTACTGTTTATATTTTACATTTTATACTTTTATTGAATGTAACTGGGACCCTGTGTACATAATATCCTTCCACCACATGTACCACATGTGATGCGTTTGACAAATAAAGAAACTCTGACTTTGACATTGATTTATAATTTCATAGTTCAAGAATTGCGCCACTCGGTGCGTCTGCATGTCGGAGCAGCTCTGTTCATTCTGAGATATTTCTTTTCACAACTTTATTTCCCTTTTTTCTGGATGCAAGTCACATTTTTAGATGATTGCTTCCTCTGGTATCAGATGCTGTGCAGCTGGAAAGATTTTTATTAAAACCATTTTACTTTTTGACATTTGTTGCGATGCGTAACCATGGCAACAATGTGGTTTTTACAACTGGGAGCAGCTGATTAACATCTCAGAAGCTCAAATAATATCTCAACTACAGCCACAGGTTATAAATGATTTGAAAAGGAAGTGCCGTGGACGCATGCTCATCTACCTGGAGGCGATGCTTGAGTACCCGACTGCCAAGATGTGGGGGCTGGTGGGAACCGCAGCTCATGAGAATAAGAAAACCAGGATCATCCCCCGACACCTGCAGCTGGCTGTCCGCAATGACGAGCTCAACAAGCTGCTCTGAGGAGACACCAACACTCAGGGAGGGGTTCTGCTCTACATTCAGGCCGTCTGCTGCCCAGGAGAACCGAGAGGCCCGCAGGGTCCGGGTGGATGGATCAGCATCTGAAACCGGTTTCTCTGGATCCACTGTGGGATGGACCACTACAAGAGATCCTTCCTGCCTACAGCCATCAGCATCTAGAACAACTCTTTAATGAAACCAGGATGATGTGCTACAATAACATTTAATTTCCCTTTAGGATTAATAAAGTATTTTTAAATTTAATTTTATTCGCTCAGCCACGTGAGACATCAACATGCCCTTATTGGAAGAAAAAACACAAAACACTTAAAAATACATATAGACTTATGAGTTATGCTTTTTTAACAGACTTCATTCTGTACCCTGAGGCCAGCATACAGCTCCATCATCCTGAATTAAATGTTGTCTTAAAAACATGGAGGCAGATGAAACTGTCCTGTGGCGTTACACTTTTTGTCTTTACATTGATTTGATCTGTGCTTTGTTTTGTTGGTGAGCAACAAAGTCTGATGGGAAGTTACGGCTGCAGGATGTTGTGCTGCCGTTCATGTGGATGTTATTTTGACACCTGTCACATCTGAACTCGACCCAGTCCGATCTTTATAGAAACAGCATCCTCAGTGGTCTCAACGAGCTCCTGTTCTGCTGCAGAAATACTTCAGAGATGGTTTGAAGGACTTCATATGTTTCAGCCGTTCGCTTGGCCTCCACGTTCTCCAGAACTCAGTCCAGTCTGCGGGACGTGCAGGAAAACTCGGGCCTGGTTACTAACGGGGAAATGATCCGTGTTTGACAACCTGGATCATTTTGTTCTTTTGCAGTTTGTCTGATATTGCAGAATGTTTTTTGCTATTAGTCATACAGCTGCGTAAAAAACTTAGTCAAACCTGATGTGCAATGTCTGCTGGAGTCTCGTCAGTTGGCTGGCACCTGCAGTGCGTGTGTGTTTCAGCAGCTGCCAGGCTTGTTCCTACAGGCTTTCAACAAAAGAAGCGTGCTGCTGGTGAGACATTGTTTGTGTAACAGCAGAGCTGATCTGTGAAGTTCAGCTGCTGCCAGCGCTGGTCCACGTGAAGCTTATCAACATCCTGCAACTGTCAAGGATTAGGAGCAGCCTTCGTCCGTCATGTTCCCACCACGGCTGTTTCCTTCATGTTCAGCCTGCAGCGAGGCCACAGCTTCACTGATTAATGAGAACTGGGTTCTTCTCAGCTCTGAGGAAGACGTCTCTTACCTGCGCCATAGTTAACTGAATCCAACCATTGTTGGAACGTAGCTGCAAAATCAGTTTAACAAAGGGTTGCCTCTTGTAAGTTACCTGTAAAGCAGTAACATCTTACCTGTTGTAGATAGCTCTTAGTAGAAATGTTGTTGAAGTCTGACCAGACAGATGAGCTAAAAGCTGTGACCAAGAACAAATCTGTTTCCATTTTTTAATTCCTTAACTTCAGAGCAGCTCATGCAAACATTATGTTGTGTTTGCATCCCCATTAATTTCCTTTTATACAGTTAGTTACATATAATCATATGTTTTTATACAAGCAGTGGTGTTAGCTAGCTTTAGCTTGAGGTTCAGTATTACAGGAATATTATAATAATTCTGCAAAAAGTAACTCTGAAGTGCAAAACTGAAATCAGTTTAATTGTTGAAACAATGTATTCAGAATGAACAGGAGTCATGCACACATCATGAAGGTTACACCTGGTCCACCAGGAAAACTAAGCTGATGCCATTGCTAGATTTTATTTATTTATTTTATTTAATTATTTATTTTTTTCTTCTTGTTCACAGACCAAATCTTTTCCACAATCAGAAACACAAAAACACTTTTGCTAGTGTTATGAGGTCACTTACAGCAAGGTAGAGCTGTCAGTTAATACTTGTACTATAAAAAGAAAAAATAAGTCTCATTTAATAAACTCCAGAAAGGTATATCTCTGTTAGGAAAGTGTTCTCTAAGGAAAATATTACGACATCAAGAATAATCCAAAACAAAGAGTTTGCTTCGTTAAACTGACCAGAATTTGATGCAGAATAAAATAAAAAGTGATACAGAACTGAACATTTCCCAGAATAAACATACTAAATAAATAAAAATTGAAACACTAACTCTTAGATTTTCAACTAACTGAATGCTAATGTGGGGAAATGTCTGTTCACATCAGAGATATCAAGCAAAGGCACAAAAACTCAAATTGTTCATTATATGACATAACTGCTTGCCATACACACCTCTCATTGCTATGATCTGACTTCTGCACAGCTGATTTAAACTTTGAACCTTCCATGTTTTGTTTGAAGTGGGGTTCTTAAAATTGTATCTTCCTTTTACTTTTGCTCTGCCGAGGCTGTTAGCAAAATAACCTGAGTGAACCGCTTGCAGATGGGAGCAGTGATTACCTGTGACAGATGTGTTGGATGTATTAGTTGTATAACACATGCATCAAACATCTGTACTGTGACGCTGCACTCACATATTCCCACAACTCATTTCATTCCAGGTATTTGTTAGTGTGTCGTATACACGTGCTGTCACTCAGCTGATAAACAGCTCTAAAGTGTTAGGAGGGTCAACTGTGCACCAGGAGTGGGTCCAACTGGACTGTTTTGAGGGGTCAATAATATTTATCAGTTTAAACACACTTAAGCTTTTTTATTTTTTATTATTGAATCTGTTTAAAATAGAAAGCAGTTTTTGTTTAAAGAGCCATCTGCAACAGGTAAGATACTATTTGTTGCTTTTACACAGAACCCCACTTGTAAAAGGCTGAAATTCCCTTTTAATCAAGAAATGTGTGTCAAACACAAACAGACGCAGAGAACACAGGGCGGTGCCTTCAGGATATGTGTTTAATGTGACCTTTCTGTCTGTGCGTGCCAGGTTCGCAGTGATGGCGTGCTGCTGGGCCCTGGACCCGGAGGAGAGGCCAAAGTTTCAGCAGCTGGTTCAGTGTCTCACAGAGTTCCACGCTGCGTTGGGCGCCTACGTGTAAAAACAGAAGAACCCTGACGGCTGGTGGACGTTGGGAAACGTGCCTTATCAGATGCATGAGCAGGCCTGAGGGCTCTTGTACATTTTACGCTTGACTTGATGTTTAATTACTTTTTACAGCATAGCAAAGCAAAAAGATTCCTTGTTTTATGTTTTTCTTTTTTGCTTTGAAAGCATCTTTTCTTCTCGAGGACCAGAGCGATGGACCGAGTCCTCCTTTGTACAACTCGTCAACTTGTTACGGACATTAACGTTTCTTTGCAGTGACAGTTTTCTACTGTTTGATGGTGAAGCAGCGTGAACTCTAGATTTATTTTGGATAACGGTTAAATTCCTCAGAATGATTCAGGTACCTTGTCGAGCTTGGTACGAGAGAGAAAGCAGACTTGTTTTTGTCGTGGTGGTCGTGAGACGCCCTCGGATGGTACAGTATTTCCTCTGGATAATTTTCTTTTTCCTGCAGTCTGATTGTGCCAACTCTCTGCAGGGACGTTCTGTGAGGTTTGATGTCCACTAATGCATCAAAGCTGCCAGTTTAAACCAGCTTCTTGTTTCATGTCTGGTTTGAACTCAAGAAACGGACATTTTTTAATATTTTTTGTACATATCACATCCATTGTTCCTCCCCACATAGTTTTGTATGTTTTTATAAGCTTGTTTAGATCAGAACACGAGACTTCTGACCCGTTTTTAACAGCTATTCCACTAAAATCACTGTGAAAACACCAGCTGGGTCTGATCGTGTTCTTCCACCTGTACCATGTTTGACTCGTGGTTTTATGGTCACTGCATGTCAGGCTGTAAACACCTTCCCACGTTCATATCCTCACATTATCTTTGAATACTTGTCCTCAGTGGTTTGTTCTTATTAAATATTTATAATGTATCATCATTAATCTCACCATGTTTCTGTTCTGCAGAAAGAGCATCCGTATGTTGTTTTTTTTACCTTTCTGAAACAGTAAAATCAGAACGAGCTGAACATTTGTGTTGTCACTCCTAGTCTGAGTTCGTCAGTTCCTCGTCAGCCTGCAACACGACCGCACCAGTTGAGTAAGGAGACGTTCTTCTTTTTGTTTAAACCAGACTCATGTCGTCACGGTTCTGTTAAAACCTCAGGACTGAAGAACTGTGGGTCAGAGTAACTTGTCACTTATTAGAAGTCATCTTTACATGAATACACAGGTGCAGGTGCTGGTCATAAAGTCAGAACATCATGAAAAAGTTGATTTATTTCAGTAATTCCATTCAAAAAGTGAAACTTGTATATTATTTTCATTCATTACACACAGACTGATATCTATATATATATATATTTATATATATATATAGATATATATATATATATATATTTTTATTTTTTATTTTTTTTTTACCCTTTATTTATCCAGGTAGTCTTATTGAGCCACGAGAACTCATTTTCAAGAGAGACCTGTTAAGGGAACAGATGGTGGGGGTTAAGGGCCTTGCTCATGGGCCCAGAGTGGGGCGAATGAGGGTGGAGGGAGGTGTGGGTGTTCCACCTTTTCCACACACATTTTGAGGTTGACGGTACCGGGAGTTGAACCTGCAACTTTCCGATCACAGGCCCATCTTCTAACCTCTACGCCACCACTCCCTCAAAGTGTCAAATGTTTCTAATGTTTATTTCTTGTAATGTTGATGATTATAACTGACAACTAATGAAAAATCCCAAATTCAGTATCTCAGAAAATTAGAATATTACTTAAGACCAATTAAAAACAGGATTTTTAGAAGTGTTGGCCAACTGAAAAATATGAGCATGTACAGCACTCAGTACTTAGTTGTTGCTTCTTTTGCCTGGATTACCACAGCAATGCAGCGTGGCATGGAGTCCATCAGTCTGTGTCACTGCTCAGGTGTTATGAGAGCCCAGGTTGATCTGATAGTGGCCTT